AAGGGAGTCAAAAGGTACAAACTCTAGTTAAAATAAATAAGTCCTGGGCAATGTACTGTATGGCACTGGGACTATAGTTAATAATACTGTATTGCATATTTGAAAGGTGCTAAGAGAGTAGATCTTAAAAGTTCTCATTACAAGAAAAAATGTAACTACGTGTTGTGATAGATGTTAACTAGATTTATTGAGTTGATCATTTTGCAATACATACAGTGAATCATCTTGTACCTCTGAAAATAATGTTAAGTATTGCTATACATATGGAATATAATGCTATTATAATGTTATATGTCAGTTATATCTCAATTTTTTAAAAAAGATAAGTAAATGAGGTGATGGCTGTGTTAATTAACTCAATGGTGGAGATCCTTTCATAGTATATATCAAATCATCACACTGTACACTTTAAACATATTAGAATTTTATTTATCAATTATACTTGAATACAGTTGGAAAGTAAAGTTATTAATAGAATGAAGAAATTAATAAGTGAATCTGAAAAAAAAGAGTGAATGAGAGGCAAGGAATCAGAGTATGGACACTCGGAATTCCAAGTGGTTGTGGTGGAAGGAAGGCCAGAAATCGAGGAGTGGCTATAGGGAAATTGAGATCAAGGGGTTTGCTTGTTTGTTTCCAGATAGGAAGCATAGCTTGTCTATGCACTCATGAGAATGATCCAGCTGGTTCTTTGAGAAGATCAATATAATTGATAGATCCCTGGCCAGACTCATTACAGAAAAGAGAGAAAGGACAAATTACCAACATCAGGAATAAGAAAAATGTGATAAGTATGTATTCTGCAGATATTAAAAGGATAATAAGGGAAAGTGCTGAAAAATTTTATGCCAATGATTTTGATATCCTAGATGAAATGGACTAACTTCTTGAAGGACTAAACTGCCAAGCTCTCCAAAAAGAAAGAAAGAAAGGAAGGAAGAAAGAAAGAAGAAAGAAAGAAAGAAAGAAGAAGAAGAAAGAAAGAAAAAAGAAAGAAAAGAAAAGAAACTAAATACCCTGATATCCGTTAAAGAAATTGAAATTATTATTTTTTAAAGATTTGATTTTTAAGTAATCTCTACACCCAACATGGGGCTCAAACTTACAACCCCGAGATCAAGAGTTACATGCTCCACAGACTAAGCCAGCCAAGCACCCCAAGAAATTGGAATTATTGTGTAAAATCTTCCTACAAAGAAAGCTCCAAGTCCAAGTAGCTTCACTGGTGAATCCTATCAAACTTTTAAGGAAGAAATAACACCAACTCCACACGAACTCTCCCAGAAAATTGAAAAGGAAAGAATACTTCCCGACAAATTCTATGAAACCAGCATTCCTTTGATACCAAAACCAGACAAAGACATTACAAGAAAATTACAGCCCAACATCCCTCCTGAACACTGGTGCAAAAATCCTAAACAAAATGTTAGCAAATCAAACCCAACAGTTAAAAAGTGAGTGGAGCTTATTTGAGGAATGCAAGGTTGATTTAACATTTGAAAATCAATTGATGTAATTCACCATGTTAAGAAATTTTAAAAGAGCAGAAAAAGCATTTAATAAACTCCAACATTCATTCTTGATAAAAAGAAATTCTCAGTAAACTAGAAATACAACAGAGCTTCCTCAACCGGGTAAAGGACATCCATGGAAAACTCACATCTAACATTATATTTAATGATGAAAGACTGAATATTTTCTCCGTAAGATGGAGACAAGGACATCTATTCTCACACTTTCTATTCAGCCATGAATGAAACAGAGTAGAGAATCCAGAACAAACTCACACATATGTGGACAACTGACTTTCAGCAAAGGTGCAAAGGCAAGTTGGGGGAGAAAGGACTGTCTCTCAACACATGGTGCTGGAGCAACTGGATATTCTTCTACCAAATAAATGAATTTTGATCCATACTTCACACCACATAAAAAAATTAACTCAAAATGGGCCATTGACCTAAATGGCCTTAAATGGGCCATTATAAAACCTCTAAAAGGAAATATAAGAGAAACCTTTGTGACCCTGGGTTTGGCAAAGATTTCTTAGATGTGACACCAAAAACACAATGCACAGAAGAAAAAAAAATTGATAAATCGGATTTCATCAAGTTGAAAACTTCTGTTTTTTGAAAAACACTGTTCAGAGAATGCAAAGATAAGCCATAGATGGGGAGAAAATACTTGCAAATCATCTACCTGCTAAAGAACTTGTATCTAGAATATAGAAAGAATTCTCAGACCTCAATAAGAAAACAAACAATACAATTTTTAAAGAAAGATTTGAACAGATACTTCAAAGAAGTTAGTGGATGGTGAATATGCCCATGAAAAGATATTCAGCATTATTAATTATTGAGGAAATGCGAACTAAAACTACCGTGAGGTATCACCACACACTCACAACAAATATTGGCCAGGACATGGAGGAACTGGGACTCCACACAGCTGGTGGAGGTATAAAATCATGCAACCACTTGGGAAAATACTTCGTCAGTTTTTTATAAAGCTAAACAATACACTTACCATATGATCCGGCTATTCCACTCCCAGATATTTACCCAGGAGAAATGAAAGTGTATGTCTATATGAAGACATGTACCCGAATGTTCATAGCAGCTTTATTTGTAATAACAGCAACAAAAACCTGAAAGCAACACAAATGCCCATCAATAGGTAGATGGATAAATAAACTATGGCACGTCCATTCAATGGAATATTGCTGAGCGATAAAAAGGAATGTACCACTGATCTATGTGACAAAATGAGCAAACCTCAGAATAATCATGTTGAGTGAAAGAAGGCCAATACAAAGAAAAGTACACACTGTACAAATCCACTGATATAAAATGTTAACATATACAAAAGAATGTATAGAAACGGAAAGCAGACCCATGATTGCCTCAGAGGCGTGGTGGGGAGGGCTGTAAAGAGGGATTCCCAAGGGGCAAGAGGAAATTTTTTAATGTTCATTATCTTGATTGTGATGATGGTTTCTTTGATGATATGTTTGTCACTTTAAACATGTGCAGTTTATTTTATGTTGAGTACACCTCAATAAACTTAAAAAATAAGTTTGGGGGATATCGTAGTTGGAATTTTTATTCAAAGCCAGCCTTCCTGAAGGCATTTGATTGTTTTGTTTTTCTTATAATTATATAACAACAAAAAAGTCCAAAATTAAAGCCTACACATCTTCAGTTCCACGACTACTGTGGTCCATTTTCTGTATGCACTGTGGTGAGGGAAAAGGATTCGTCTTGAAGTTCAGTCTTCCGTTCTTGTGAGATGAGCGGTCAGGAGGATGTTGTTGGCTCTGAGCACCAAGAGTGCAATAGGAGAAGCATCCCAACCATGGGACTGAAAGAGTCCTCTCCATGTGTCCCGTTTTGCTTTCTAGAGAGGTGAGTGGCTGAGGTTTGGAAGAAAAAGAGCAAAATGTCGGCTGGAGCTCAGCCATCTGTGACCACCCACCCATGACCCCTGCCCCATGTCAGCAGCAGTGTCGGGTAGAGGGGTGTCTGCACAAGGTGGCGGAAAGAGGGAGGACAAGGTGACCAGAGGCGTTCAGGTTACAGGATCATATGACTTCGGATAAACACACTCAGTGCTGTCCCAAAGCTGTTCTGTGCTTCTGCCATCTTGCTGCCCCAAAAGCAGCTGCCCCCCACTCTGCACCCAGAGAGAATCCCCAGAGAATTAGCTAGAGCCAGCCAGCCAGGAGGCCACCGGCCAGACACAGAGTGCCACCTGGCCTTGCGTGCACAGGTCAAAACGGGGTCCAGGCCGAGTTCCCAGCAGCAGCCGCAGTGGCCACTCCATGCACAGGGACATCTGCAGTAGCCGCCATCGGGGCTTTGCACGCCCAGTAGCCTGCCTGTGTCCACACCAGGCGACAGAGGGACCGGGGAGATTCCACCTGGGTTCCTATCGTGGCTTTGTCACCTGCCAGCCAGGTGCTTTGGGCAAGTCACTTAACATGCCTCAGTCTCTCCATCAATAAAACGGACATAACAAGAGTGATACCCCACACGGTTGTGAGACTTAAAGGAGCTGCTAGCTGTGAGATGTTTACACGAGCTCCCGACACAGAGGTCACTCTCGGATGTGTTTGCTGTTGTTACATTAGTCTGTGCTTTGACAAACCCCTCTCCTGCCCTTTCCCACGCCCATCAGACAACTCAGGCCCCTACACACAGCCGACCAAGCATCCGACCACTTAGCTTCTAGATGTGATGGGCAGCTCCCTAACACCCTCAGACTAGGTTCTTCAGGTTTGGGGGCTCGTGCTGTTTATTTCTATTGCTCTGACTACTCAGAACCTCATCAGAAATCTGGAACCCAAGTCTTGGGGCAGGAAGGCTTGGGTGGGCTGACCCATGCAGGTCCTGCCCTCTCCAGCAGGGGGCGATGGGCACCAACCTTTGCTGGGCGTTGAGCATTCTTCCTCCCCGTCCCCAGAACCAGGAACACCCGCTGTTAGTGTTGGAAGATAGAGTCTCTCAGGTTCCAAAGCTGCAGGTGAGTTTGTGGGCACAGCTCCTTCCCAGCCCCCTGACTTTCCTAGTTCCCATCTGCCTCACTTTCCGGAGGAGGAGCCTCTTGCCATTGGTGGCTTTGCCTCTGTTTCCCAGTGTGTAAAATAGGTGTGGCCATCTCTGCCTCCTCCAGAGATTTCCCACAGGTGAATCCCTAGCAGCAAGGACAGGCAGGGGAGGCTCCAGGCCCAGGCCACAAGCACAACTGGGAAAAGCCATTTCTGTCAAAAGCAACACCAAAGAATGGGAGAGGCCATTCCAAACCCGGAGCGGGCAGCCTCCGCCAGCTGCCCATCCTCCTGGGCCGCAGAGTCCCAAGCCAACCCAGATCTTGGCCCCAGGGTGCCCCCTTCAATCCTTGCACCAATCAGGGGCTTCCCAGCCCAAGCAGCGGACTTCCCCACCCCCTCCTGACCCAAAGGGCACAAATGAAACACACACACACACACACACACACATACAAAATTAAAAAAAAAAATCACATCTTTATTGTTTGATTAATAACCTGGCTTGGAAAGGCAAGAGTGGGGTGTGTGGGGAAACACCCAGCTTTGATTAGTCAGAAACTCCTGTTAACTGTGTACAAAATGAATGTTACAAAATCACGTAGAAAATGGGGTCAGCAAAGCAGCAGCCTTGGGGAAGGCTCAAGGTCCCTTGAGGCTGTGATATGAGCCCAATCTGGCCTCTGGGGCGTGGCTGAGGGACTCCGGGGCCCTGGGGGCCACATCCCTGCCCCCACACGGCACACACGGTCTCCTCCGTCCTCGCTTACGAATTACTACAAAATTGTCCTCAAAGGGGCATAAACACCACAGGCCATGGCATTGCCAGAAATTAAACGGGCCCTGAGCTGAGCGCTGAGCACCCCCTTCCGCGGCGGCCTGGGCCTGGAGAAGGGGCGCCCTTGTTCCCCACGCTGAGGAGGGTGGGCAGGCACAGGACCCCAGAGCTGGGGAAGGGCTCCGCTCCCCAGAGGGACGGTGGCCGAGGGAGTCCTGAACAGGCCACCGGAGCAAACACAGCCAGGGTTTTGGTCAGTGCCAAGTGTGGGGAGAGGATCCACAGTCCTGTCCAGCCCCCCGTGCTGTGGTCTGAGCGGTGCGCTCCCGGCACGGTCCAGACGGGGGCGCTAATTGGGGTAGCACATGCAGCATCCTGTGCCTGCCGCCTCCACGCTGGGCTTGGCGCCGGGCCCCAAGAGTCCATCAGTGACAGAGTGCTCCATGATGATGTCCTCCACCCGGGTGATGTACAGGAATGTCAGCAGCACCCCCAGGAACTGAGGAGCAAGGGCAGGGTGGGTGAGAGCCTGCTGGGGATCTGGGTGGCTCTCTCTGGCAGCCCCCTGCCCGGGCCCTTCACTACCCCTCAGGAAATCCCAGAGACCCTCTCTGTGCCCCATCAGCAGAGGCCCCTCCATTCTGGGACTCCTGTCTCCAGCCCAGCCATGTCGCTCACTATCGAGGGGACCTCGGGCAAGTCACTTAACCTTGCCAAGCCTCAGTTTCCTCCTCTGTAAAATGGGCATGATAATAGTATCTACCTCACAGGATTGCAGACGGCTGTGCCTGTGAAGCACTTGGAAGAACTTTATAAGCAAGGTTCTTGCCATTTGCCCTCTCCTTCCGGCCCTCCAGCCCTCCAGCCCTCCAAGGGTGAGCCCAGATTGATGGTATGAGAGCCTTCTTCACCCCACCCCTTTTGTACCTTTTCTGCCCTCCGTAATCACCAAGCCACACTCTCTGCACCGACACCTTGCCCACCATTCCACTTCCAGCTCCCTTCCCTGGGAGACGGGGCCGGGGCTGGGGGTGGGGGACAGCCCACCTGGGGGAGCAGGATGCCCAGCAGGAGGCCCGCCATGATGGTGTAGTTGTCCATGAACCAGATGAGCACAGCGTTGGTGCAGCCCCGCACATAGATGACATTCTGCACGACGAGGCGCTGCACAGGGAGGAGCGTGGCTGACCCCTCGCCCGGCAGAGCCCCAGCCCCAACTCTGCTGCTCACTCGAGGTCCAGGCAAGTCCCTCACCCTCGCTGAGCCTCAGTTTCTCACATACAATCAGAGCAGGTGGCTCTAGACCACTGGGTTTCTGTGGGCAGTAGTGTTCCCTAGAGAGCACTGAGGACATTGTGATGGCACTTCTGGTTGTCACGGCAGTGGGGTTTGGGGACTGAGGGGCTGCAGAGCTAAGGGCGATCCTACTCCACAAACAACTACCCTGGCTACCTGCCTCTCAGAAGTCCCCCGGGGCATCTAGGCGGCTGAAAACCCAGCCAGAATCACCTGAGCCAAAAGGCCAACTCCCGGGACTCATAAAAACCAAAATGTTGGGGCGCCTGGGTGGCTCAGTCGTTGAGCGTCTGCCTTCGGCTCAGGTCATGATCCCAGGGTCCTGGGATCGAGTCCCGCATCGGGCTCCCTG